AGATGGAAGCGAATCCTCCTATGGGGCTGTACTTTATTTGAGGTGGGAAACCAGCGATAAAGTTGAAGTGAAGTTGGTAGAATCCAAAGCGAAACTCACACCTCTTGACTTGAAAGGAGATGTGATCAAATCAGAGCTTTGTGGTGCGGTGTTTGCTACCCGCCTTAAGAAATATTTTGAGAAACACTGCCATATTAAGGTCAAGGAATGGATTCACTTCGTGGACAGCCAAACAATTCTGACAGCCATCCAAAAGGACAGCTATGGCTTCCAGACCTTTTTCGCTAACCGAATCGGTGAGATTCAGAAAGCTGGAAATGTGGAAGATTGGAGGTGGATTGAAGGTAGAAGAAATATTGCGGACATACTGACCAGAGGTGCAACTCCTGAGGAACTTGGCGAAGGGTCAGAATGGCAGCAAGGCCCTGAGTTTCTGAAAAATCCCAAGACCGACTGGCCTATGAAGATGGCTAGTGAGATTATACCCTCTGCTGCTGAAGATGTGGGAAAACTTCAGCGGAAAGCCTTCTCAGCAGTGGTCACTAGGGCCCAGTCTAAAGAAAAAACTGGCCTCAATGGGCCTGACATTAAGGCGAACCTCAAGAATGAAAGAGTTAATAATAGATCGACATCACCAGCTATCCCGGGTGTAACATCAGAAGCAAACAAGCAGAGAAAGCCTTGGGCAATTGGGCTAGTGCGCCTTGTGGAACCTCAACGTTTCAGTTCTCTGTCCAAGCTGTGTAGTTCCACAGCCTGGACTCGACGGGCTGCAGTAACTTGGCTGAGAAAATGCCAGGCACCAGACTCATCAAAGTGGGAGGCAAACAATTCTATCCTGTCAACTGAGGAGAGAGCACAAGCATTCCAAGACCTGGTCTTCGCCGCCCAAGATGGTTGTCAGTTTCTGGACTCAACACTTAACCGCTTGGTGGTCCACAAAGACGAGAGCACAGGAATTCTTCTCTGTGGAGGACGAATCCAGTGCTGGAAGGAAGATGGGACAGCTGTTCCCTTAATTCCTTTCAGTTCATGGCTCGCAACACTACTGTCAAGAGAAGCTCATAACAAGAACCATGAAGGTGTTGCTGCTACACTTCTGCGTACCAGGAGGAAGGCGTGGATTATGCAGGGTCGTAGGATAGTGAAGAAAGTTGTAAATGACTGTATTGAATGTCGCAAGAGAAAAAGTAAGATGTGCCAACAAATGATGAGTCACCTGCCGCCAGAACGATCACAGCGTGCTAACCCATTTGAATATACCACACTTGACCTCTTTGGCCCCTTTGAGATCAAGGATGCTGTCAAGAAAAGAACAGGAAAGAAAGTTTGGGGCCTAGTATTCTGCTGTATGGCATCAAGAGCAGTTCATGTGGATCTAGTTGACGATCAATCATCTGAAAGCTTTCTCCAAACTTACTTTCGCTTTGTAGCAATGAGAGGCAATCCCAGAAAATTGTGGTCAGATAGGGGTACCAATTTTATTGGAGCTAAACCTGCCCTACAAGACTTGCACGGGTACTTGGAGACTTTACAGGAAGTAGCCATAGAGGACAAAGCCGCCAAGAATGGGACAGTGTGGGCATGGAACTTTCATCCGGCTGACGCACCACATCGTAATGGGGCTGTGGAAGCTGCAGTTAAACTTGTTAAAAGAGCCCTCACTAGCCTTGGAGGCATAACAAACTCACTCACTTGGGGTGAGCTCCAAACACTTTTCTTCCAGGCAGCTAACCTCACAAATGAAAGGCCGATTGACGCTAGAGCACAAGAACAAGAGGACTCTGTAGAGTATTTGACCCCCAATGATTTGCTTCTCGGGAGGACAAGACAAAGTGGAGATACAAGAGGAATTGACTTGTGTATTCATCCCTGGCGCCGTCTCAGGTCCATCCAGATAGGTGTGGATATGTTCTGGAAGAAGTGGAGCGAACTCGCCGGACCTAACTTATTCATCAGACCAAAGTGGCACCGGACCCAAAAGAACGTAGAAATTGGTGACATTGTTTGGATTGCTGATCAAAACGCATTACGAGGGCAATTCCGGCTTGGACGGATCCAGGCCGTGTACCCTGATAAGAAAGGACTTGTGAGAGATGCTGATGTTAAGGCATGTGCAGGCCTTCCTGCCTCCCAAGTAAGTGGGCAACTTAAGAGGATCCCTCAGCAGCCGACATCAGTCATCCTACGGAGAGATGTGAGGAGACTGGTAGTCCTCATTCCTGTGGGAGACCAATGACTCTTAGAACTTTGTTTCTTTACCATTATTTGAACTACCTTTCAAGGGAATGGGCCAACCCCCGACAGAATACTATATATCTGTCAGTGGAGGTTAACAGAGACAATAATGGTTTTATAAAAAAAAAAAAAAAAAAATTATGTCACCCCTATGCTTGGAATCACATGATTACGCGGTCAAGTGGGAGGTGTTGCGCTCACTACAGCACGGGTGTTTGGTAGAGAACGCAGGTTAATAGGTGGGAGGTTCACCTTCCTGATTGAAGGAGGGACTAGTTAAGCATTGAAACGCAAATCAGTGAGATCTTAAAACGGTGTGATATCATGAGCTTGAGATATACGCAGAATCAAGAGTTTGTTTGCATGTTGTCTCGTCGGGAGAGACGCGCCACCGGTAAGCTGCTGTTTAATAATGAAACGCTTATTGAGATGCGGGGGAAAGTTTGCCTGTCTGTTTGTGTAACTACTGACAACCGCGGCATATGCGCGCAGTTTGTGTGTAGATGAATGTTGGTAAATGTTGCTGTGGGAACACTGAGAACCTCGTTTGCACTCAATGTTTAATGTTGTCGTATTGATAGTATTCGCGGTAGAACTTAAGGAAATGTTTGGATTTGGAGCGTTTCACTTTCATATGAGATACTTCCTGGTTTGCGATGCCGGATGGGAAATGTAGTTTGTTGTCTTGCGTTTATAATGAGTTACTATGCTAAAGCGCCACTACATAAACTACACTCACTAGATTCACGTCGGGCCAAGCACTGAGAATTTCTCTTTGATTTAGAGCGATTGGTTTAATTGAATATTGGTGTATTGTGTGAAGCTGTTGCATTTCTGTGCTTAATGTTTATAGTCATTTAGATTAATTGCTAAATTATACTATAGTATTTATTGAGAATGTTGATATATTATTACGAAATATTTATTAGAATTAATGTTTATTAATATTTTATATTGTTCAGAATTTATAGTATGATATGTAAGTGTTATTAATATTGTCATTTACACTGTCTTTTTATGTCTATAGGTTTATAACCTCTTTGTTTGTGGACAAATCAACTATATGTGGAAATAATAAATCCAAGTAAACAAAACCACAATTGAGTTATGCAACGTGTTCTCTCCTGACGCCCCGTTCGGTGGGGAAATTCTTGAAACAGCTGGAGCGTAAGAGGGAGTTTGAGCAGCGGAAGGAGCTTCGCTCGCTGAGTCCCAGAGGCGGGATCACGTCAGGCCATGATGGAGAGAGTCCCTGAGCAGCAGAAGGCCATTGCTCATGTCCTGGCCTCTGACAAGAACTCCCGGATGCTGAAGCTGGATGCTCTCCACAGAAAAAGATGATGCTAGAAAGCTACTTTAAAACTGCTGAACAAGCCTTGCCACCTAACAACCAGGAACTAAGTGTAGCTTGTGAGCTGCAGACTTACTTACAGTCATGCAACCTGGATAGTGAGGATAACCCACTAAAATGGTGGAAGGAAAATGAAAAGGCCCAAGGCTTTCAAAAGTGGCAAAGAAATACTTGTGCATACCAGCCACAAGTTCTCCTTCAGAGAGAGCTTTAGTGCCGGGGAATGTCCTAGGTCCTCCCTAAAGCCAGATCATGTTGACAGACTTGTGTTTCTAGCCAAGAACCTGTAACATGTATGCACAAATACTTACGTGTAAGCCTATCGTAGGATAGGAAAAAAAACTGAATAATTAGTTTTTCACATACGAGTTTTATTCTAATTTATTTTATTTCCATTTGGCATGTAAAAGAGGCCCACATTTTCACAGTTAAACATTTTCATCAGAAGTTTCAATACAGTGACTTGCAGGATTTATGTTCTGTTTATAATGTGTTTTCTGTAAAAAGCAAGTGAAATAAAAAACTAACAGTGATCAAATCGTGATTTTTTTTTTTTTCATTTTGTGCAAAATAATCATGATTATCAATTTTCTTGTTATTGTGGAGCCCTATTCTAAAGGGTAAAGTAAATCCTTCTTTCAATAAGATGAAATGAAAGATGAAATTGCCAGCAGCGAATTAAATTTCAGGGTGGCCCCCTAGACCCGCCCCTAGACCTGCCCCTGGCTCCTCCTCTTCCCACACATTCCCACCAATCCTTCTCATTATAAACTCCGCCTACAAGTGGAACCCAGAGCAATCCAGATAAACTCGGGGAAAAGTCTTAGAAGCAAGAGTGTGTAGAAGGATTCTAGATGTTTATCTGAGGAGGAAGAGAGCCAGTGCCTCCTTAAACAACTGGATGAGAAATGAGGCAAACACTAAGAAATATGACAATTATAACTGCATAAATGATTGGCTTTTCTAAGTGCCTGTACAGTGACCCCAGCGCCTCTCATTCCTCTGAGTGCATTGTGGGTAATAGAGAAGGAGGGATCGGAGGCACTGCGCTATGATTGGATGTTCACGCGATAAGTCCCGCCTCTTGCTTTCGTGCGCGTTCTGAATGAATAAATAATAGTGTAAATGGGAAGTTCATAAAAGTAAAAAGTCATCTGCTGTGTGACGTTGAGATTACAGGTAGATCTGTGTGTCTGTGACCATCAGTGTTTCTGAGCGACTGATGAGCCCAACATAAAGAACAGACTAACATACAAACTTGTATTGATTGTTGATTTCTCAATGGTGTAAGAAATGTTAATTTATCTAACATTAAGTTTAACTGTAACTTGAATGTACAATAAAAACATCCAGAAGATGTAGCTGTAAACGAGCTGTACATACCGAGGTTTAAGTTTAACCGTGACGTAAGATGGCTGCTGTGGTTAAACCAGGTGAAAGTAAACACGACTGCTTCTGCAATAGCATACATCAAGGTTATCGCTCACAGAAACGATCACGCAAACACGGTTGGAGCACTTGAGATGGATCGACCCAAACACTGATGTTAATTCAGTTTAAGTTCAGTCAGAAGAGAGAATGGAGTCACACAGACCTCACATTTAGGCTGAGATGCCAACTGATCACTGGTCATTATATAAACATCTATCTGGCTTAATTAGTTAACTCTGCAAAATAATCTCTCCAGACTTCAAGTTAAGTCACCTTTATTTATATAGCGCTTTTTACAATACAGATTGTTTCAAAGCAGCTTTACAGTGATAACAGGAAAATATATGATCTGGATATGGCCTGGATCCGGCTGACTACATCATGTGTTGTGGTCATGTCTAGATGCAGGTCCTCCATCTGATCTGGATACGGCCCGGATCCGGCTGACTACAGTTAACGACTAGCGTAGATGCCTTTCTTATGATGTAACGAGTACATCAGGTGTTATAGGAAGCTTTATACTTATACACTGTAAAAGTACTATGTGACGTGTGAAAACCTGTATGCGACCTTTACTAAACGTACGTGTGTGTGTGTGTGTGTCTCCCCCAGCTCTTGCAGAATGGAGCTGTCCTCAGAATCTCTCTGTTCAGAGTCTCAACACACAGTATGTTCTGCGCTGGGACTGGGATGACGATCAGCAGAGCGCCATCAACGAACCGCTCACCTTCACTGCACAGTATCTCTCGTAAGAACACCATATTTCTGCTTTCATACATAACATCATATTTATTCAGGTTATTGAGCCAATCTAATTACATTTAACAAAAGCAGAAATACCACAGGTTGTAATAGATTCTTGTAAGAGATTTGATTTAATATTTTTATATATTGATGTTATTTTCTTCCAAATTTCTCATTATTGTTATCTGTGCAGATTTTTTTTAACTTATTTTTCTAAAGCAGAAATGAAAATCTGCATAAATTAAAGGCAGTACAACAAATACTACATTAATGTGTAATGTAGAATTATTTTGAAGAACATGAAGAAGCCTTCTGTCCAGGGTCAGTGACTGCTGTACTTCACGTGATGAATCGAGTCACTCATGTGGTCTTTCCTCCAACAGGGCGGTTAATTCCCGTAAGGCGCCTCATAAGCAGAACTGGAGTACCGTGTGTGCAGATGTTCTGGAGCGGCACTGTGATTTCACTGATGCTGGACTGAGATACCTGGGCATAAATCTCCTGCGTGTGCGGGCCAACACAGCAGAGCAGTTCTCCAACTGGACTAGCATTAACTTCTGCCCAGATAAAGAGGGTGATTAAACTGGTCTGTTGTAATCTGGCCTCGGCTCTTGATTCTGCAGTGTGACCAAAGCTCTGTCCTTCTCCTCTCTAGCTGATCTAGGTCCTCCGTCCAGTGTGAAGCTGACCTCTGTTAAAGGAGATCTGGAGATCAACATCGCTGACCCTCTAAGCAGCACCAACGAGTCCATGAAGACGCTGGCTGAAAACATGTCTTACCTCATCCACTACTGGAAGCGGCCCCAAGGCTATCAGGTATCTGTGTGCTAATGACCAGCAGTTGCACTCCATAGATCAGCGGTCCTCAACTCTGTCCTCTGAGGGCCCCTCTCCTGCAGAGTTCAACCCTGATCAAACACAACTGCCTGGGGACCTCTAGTGTCCTGCAGAGATCAGCCCTGATCAAACACACCTGCCTGGGGTTCTCTAGTGTCCTGCAGAGATCAGCCCTGATCAAACACACCTGCCTGGGGTTCTCTAGTGTCCTGCAGAGATCAGCCCTGATCAAACACACCTGCCTGGGGTTCTCTAGTGTCCTGCAGAGATCAGCCCTGATCAAACACACCTGCCTGGGGATCTCTAGTGTCCTGCAGAGTTCAGCCCTGATCAAACACACCTGCCTGGGGACTTCTAGTGTCCTGCAGAGATCAGCCCAGATCAAACACACCTGCCTGGGGATCTCTAGTGTCCTGCAGAGTTCAGCCCAGATCAAACACACCTGCCTGGGGATCTCTAGTGTCCTGCAGAGATCAGCCCAGATCAAACACACCTGCCTGGGGATCTCTAGTGTCCTGCAGAGATCAGCCCTGATCAAACACACCTGCCTGGGGACTTCTAGTGTCCTGCAGAGATCAGCCCTGATCAAACACACCTGCCTGGGGTTCACTAGTGGTCCTGCAGAGATCAGCCCTGATCAAACACACCTATCTGGGGATCTCTAGTGTCCTGCAGAGATCAGCCCTGATCAAACACACCTGCCTTGGTTTCTCTAGTGTCCTGCAGAGATCAGCCCTGATCAAACACACCTGCCTGGGGACCTCTAGTGTCCTGCAGAGATCAGCCCAGATCAAACACACCTGCCTGGGGATCTCTAGTGTCCTGCAGAGATCAGCCCTGATCAAACACACCTGCCTGGGGATCTCTAGTGTCCTGCAGAGTTCAGCCCTGACCAAACACACCTGCCTGGGGATCTCTAGTGTCCTTCAGGGATCAGCCCTGATCAAACACAACTGCCTGGGGTTCTCTAGTGTCCTGCAGAGTTCAGCCCTGATCAAACACACCTGCCTGGGGATCTCTAGTGTCCTGCAGAGTTCAGCCCTGATCAAACACACCTATCTGGGGTTCTCTAGTGTCCTGCAGAGTTCAGCCCTGATTAAACACACCTGCCTGGGGATCTCTAGTGTCCTGCAGGGATCAGCCCTGATCAAACACAACTGCCAGGGGTTCTCTAGTGTCCTGCAGAGTTCAGCCCTGATCAAACACACCTGCCTGGGGATCTCTAGTGTCCTGCAGAGTTCAGCCCTGATCAAACACACCTATCTGGGGTTCTCTAGTGTCCTGCAGAGTTCAGCCCTGATCAAACACACCTATCTGGGGACCTCTAGTGTCCTACAGAGATCAGCCCTGATCAAACACACCTGCCTGGGGACCTCTAGTGTCCTGCAGAGATCAGCCCTGATCAAACACACCTGCCTGGGGACCTCAAGTGTCCTGCAGAGATCAGTCCTGATCAAACACACCTGCCTGGGGTTCTCTAGTGTCCTGCAGAGATCAGCCCTGATAAAACACACCTGCCTGGGGTTTTCTAGTGTCCTGCAGAGATCAGCCCTGATCAAACACACCTGCCTGGGGACCTCTAGTGTCCTGCAGAGATCAGCCCAGATCAAACACACCTGCCTGGGGATCTCTAGTGTCCTGCAGAGTTCAGCCCTGATCAAACACACCTGCCTGGGGATCTCTAGTGTCCTGCAGAGATCAGCCCTGATCAAACACACCTATCTGGGGTTCTCTAGTGTCCTGCAGAGTTCAGCCCTGATCAAACACACCTAACTGGGGTTCTCTAGTGTCCTGCAGAGTTCAGCCCTGATCAAACACACCTATCTGGGGATCTCTAGTGTCCTGCAGAGATCAGCCCTGATCAAACACACCTGCCTGGGGATCTCTAGTGTCCTGCAAAGATCAGCCCTGATCAAACACACCTGCCTGGGGACCTCTAGTGTCCTGCAGAGACCAGCCCTGATCAAACACACCTATCTGGGGTTCTCTGGTGTCCTGCAGAGATCAGCCCTGATCAAACACACCTGCCTGGGGTTCTCTGGTGTCCTGCAGAGATCAGCCCTGATCAAACACACCTGCCTGGGGTTCTCTAGTGTCCTGCAGAGATCAGCCCTGAACAAACACACCTGCCTGGGGACCTCTAGTGTCCTGCAGAGATCAGTCCTGATCAAACACACCTGCCTGGGGTTCTCTAGTGTCCTGCAGAGATCAGCCCTGATCAAACACTCCTGCCTGGGGTTCTCTAGTGTCCTGCAGAGATCAGTCCTGATCAAACACACCTGCCTGGGGTTCTCTAGTGTCCTGCAGAGATCAGCCCTGATCAAACACACCTATCTGGGGTTTTCTAGTGTCCTGCAGAGATCAGCCCTGATCAAACACACCTGCCTGGGGTTTTCTAGTGTCCTGCAGAGATCAGCCCTGATCAAACACACCTGCCTGGGGTTTTCTAGTGTCCTGCAGAGATCAGTCCTGATCAAACTCACCTGTCCTTCCTTTTTCCAAACTATGCAAAAGCAGCAGCCCTTCCCGTGTGGTGAAGAGATGAGTCCCACCTATAACGCCCATCTAGTAATATATTTACAAAAAGACAGACAGCTATTGTAAAGTAATTTAATTGTTTATGCAAGCTAACTAACAAAAACACCAAGAACATAAAATGTTTAATTTCACAATCTATAGCTTTGATTACATAATATGAAACATAGAAGTTATAATACATTAATGGTCATTATAAAGTAGTTCAAACAACTTAAATAAAGTATAATAAAGTGATTTGGTCAGATTTGTAACCAGGCACCAAAACGATTACCCATAAAACGTGCTTTGAACCAATCGGATTGCTTGGTCCCTACGCTGGGACTTGTCTCCTCTCCACACCGGCGCACTCAGTGTCCGAATTCACTCACTTATTTCATTCACTCCTTCAGTGGACTATATTAGTGGAGTAATGTGGGGAATAGTGAATGAGGGTATAGGGGCGATTTTCAACACAGCATAGTAGTCCTGAAGACCTTGATTTGCTGGTTCAGGTTTGAGCAGGGCTGAACTCTGCAGGACAGAGTGTCTGAAAGTGGCATTGAGTGTGGCCTAGTAGAATCCCTGATGTCAGCATCATTTCTGAGACTGAAGGAATACAGAAGTCCTTTTAATAGCATGATGACCACGTCCTTTAGAAAGATGTTGGTTTCTAATCTCTATCCAGATTAGATTTTTATCCATATTCTTCTCTCTTAAAGTACTTTAGAATTATTTCCAAACACACTGAGGTCCAGAAGCCTGAATATCTGGATGTCACTGGATTTTTGGACCATTAATCCACCAATAACAATGATAATAAAGGTACTGCTGAGTGAAGTATAGCATTCCCGCTATAGCTAACCCATTCCCTCTCCTCTTGTGCCTGTGCAGAAGGCTGAAGTATTGAAGACGAAGAATAATGTGGTGATGCTGTCTGAGCTGGACCGATGGACGTGGTACTGTGTGAGAGTTCAGAGTCGCTATGACATCTACAACAAGACAAGTGTCTTCAGTGACACACACTGCATACGCACTGAAGGTCAGCAGATCCATCACACACACACACACACACTCTCACGCACATGCAGAGTTCAGTTTGCTTTCCAGTGAAATCAACAAGAGTCATATATGGTTGTTAATAACTCTTCATGTCTGATCACAGATTTCATGTGTCATTTATGAGTCATGTGTCATGGTAACCTCATGCTTCAATAAAAGTTTAATGAACAACCCACACTCAAATGTTGTATGTTTCTTAAACATACAGCCATAGAAGTGAAAACTAAATATTGTCATGTAGCTTATCAGGAGAGTTTACAAAACTCATCCACAACAAGGAAAGTCAGCAGGATTTTACCAGCTATTTTTTTTATCCTTGAGTTTACAACTATCAACCCTTTTGAAAATTAAGAATGATATACAAATATGTTCTAGAGAGCAAGAAAATTTAGATAACTGGTATGTTAGCCTTTGTAAATTGATTAAAGAAGAAATAGTTTGAGATCAGAGCTGGAGACAACTATAACTTTACAAGCCATTAATTAGGAAACCTTATTGGAACAAAGAGTGGCAAAGAGTGGCAATCTATGTGTAAAGCCGAAAATATGTTTCTGAACTGCTCAAATAATTATATAGAAAAGAAGAAACTATTAGAAACCTTTAAGAATAGTCAGAATAGGTTTGATAAAAGCTACAGATTCTACAAAAGACGTTATCAAATAGGACCGGTATTATACTTGAAGAGAAACCAAACGTCTGACCCTAAGAGATTTTGGGCAGAAATTAATAAATTGGGGCCAAGGCGTAGTTGGAAAATCCCAATGGAAGTGCTGGGGTATGATGGTAATTTAATGACTGAGCTGTCTGATTTCCATTACACGAGAGTATATGTTAAAAACTTCATGCTGATTTGTACTCTGCTTTCGCCAAGATAAGCACCAACTAAGACGTAGCTTTACAGTAACCTATGCTTCTCCATCCATTTACGCTTCTTTCCAAATGGTGATGTGAATATCCTTCTGTCTGGTGTTAATAGCTGCAATGTATTTTGCGCGTCAGCGCACACAACGGCTGCAACCACAGTGCGGTCCCCCCATAACAACCCTCTGGATTGAGCAGAGTAGGGGACATCTCTAGGGTCTTCAAGTGGGCACCTTCCATCCTCAGTGTTTCGTCGACTAGCCCACGACACCTCAAGAGGGCTCGACAGTGACTCTGGCGTCCCCCCCCCCCCCCCCCCGTCCCCCCCCCCCCCCGTCCCCTACTCAACTCAGCCCAGCTTACTGACCTTTACCTCCCTCCTGCTGCTGAGGTTGCTCCTTCCTCGTAGTTCACATGTGACCAAACCACAATCTCTCACAATCTCTCCGCAACCCGACCATACGCGCCAACCCGTTTGACTAAGGCTGTCGAGCCCCACTGCGGACGTTAAAGCGGTCAGTGGCAACGGTTCCGTATGGCATACTACCACAAAATCTATCCACCAATCCTCATTCACGCAAAATACACAGGAACGTAATTACTGTAAAAACTATGCAAACTATACAAATAAACCAATAGACTCTTCAAGTTTTTCAAGAATTCTTTGAAACAGTAGCGTGGTGGCCTGCACACAGCCAGCCAGAATCTTTCCGTCTCAACCTCAACCACAACCGTCTCTTGCTGCTCCTTTCTGCTGCTTCAGATAAGTTCTTTACTGTGCGACGCAACTCTTGGCCACTGAATCCGACGTCTTTGAGGAACCGGGTTGTGGAGTGTGCCACAAAACCTCGACAACCCACTTCCACTGGATAAACCTGGACTCTCCATCCTCGCTGTTCTGCTTCAGTGGCCAGCTGAGCATACTGCAGTTTCTTCCTCTCATATGCCTCATCTACAGCATCCTCCCATGGCACTGTTAACTCTATCAGTTGAACAATGCGTGCTGATCCAGACCACAAAACAATATCTGGTCGTAGGTTAGTGGTGGCAATCTCAGGTGGAAAAATAAGCCGTTGATCATGATCAGCCAGCATTTTCCAGTCCCTAGCAGCTTCCAGTTGTCCTCAGCGAGAATTGGTTTTAACACCTTTTCTTGGTGGTTGGTCGCCTGGGCGGAGGAATAATGTCTTCTGCGTGTAATGTTTTGCTAGAACAGGCGGCAACGTATTGGTCATGTTACGCTTGTCTTCCAATGCTAAAGCCGAACATCGGAGTACTTGGTCATGGCGCCAAGTAAACTGACCTTGGCTAAGAGCCACCTTACATCTTGTCAAAATGTGCCTTAATGTGGCAGGTGATCAACACAAAGGACAAGAGGGATCCTCTCCTACCCAGAGGTTTAGGTTCTGCGGTGATGGGAGAACATCATATGTTGACCTGATAAGGAAACTGATCCTACTCTCTTCCATTGACCAAAGGTCTTGCCAGCCCATCTTGCGTTGTTCCACACTCTCCCATCTCATCCACTCTCCCTGCTTGGCCTGGGAAATGGCCTTTATACACCTCATCCTCTCCTACTGCTTTCGCACCTCGTTGACTACCAGCTTCCTCCTTTGAGCTGGGCCTGCCTTGTGCCATTTAGGAGGAGCTAAACTGAGCCCAAAACCCCCTCTTCCATGCTGTACCTGTCCCACGATATCCCCAATTTGAAGGTCAGCCTTTGCCTCTACTACAGATTTCTTTGCTGACCACTTTCTACCAGTTTTTAACACAGGGGCTGCCTCCCTTACACATTTGTCGCGTGACTCTACTAAGGTCATTTCCAGTCTGACCTTTGCACACTTAAACTCCTCGGTTAAAGCAGAGACTGGCAGCTGCAATATTCCTTTACTATAAAGTCCCACTCTGCTGAGGCAGCGTGGAACTCCCAACCATTTCCTGATATATTAACTTATTAACGCTTCCAGCTTATCCACTGTTTTCAAAGAAACCTCGTACACAGTCAGTGGCCACAGCAACCTCGGCAGTTGACCAAACTGAAAGCACCAGAGTTTTAGTTTGCCTGGTAGAGCACAGCTGTTTATGCTCTTCAACCCTTCCACTGCTTGTCGTCTAACTTCTCCCACTCGAACTGTGTCCTTTAGATCCCCATCGTACCATCTCCCAAGACTCTTCACTGGCTTCTCAGAAACTGTTGGTATTGCCTCACCATTAATGAAGAATGTTTTATCTACCACCTTGCCTTTAACTATCGAGATGCTCCTTGATTTAGAGGGCTCAAATTGCATTTGTGCCCATTCAATGTTATCGGTTATAAGTATAAGTATTCTACTGTATGCGGATGCCATAGTTTTACTGTCACCCTCTGAAGATAATATGCAGCGGATGCTCTCCTATATTGATGACTGGTGTAATAAATGGAGACTGTTTATCAATAGAAAGAAATTTTAGAAAACCTTTAACTGCTCGCTGCATCTATGAGTTTTGAATTGGGTCACACAAGCTGAACTTTGCAGACTCATATAAATTTCTAGGTTTCTATATTGATGAACATATGAATTTCAGAAAAGGTGTTAAGGTTCTGGCTGATTCAGCACGTAGAGCTTTGGGAGGAATTATTGGTAAAAGCAAGAATCTGAAAGACATAAGTTTTCAAAATTATTCTAAACTGTTTCAAGCTTGTGTGTGCCCTATACTTGATTATATTGTGGGGATTAGAGGACTTAGAAACATATCTATTTGTGAATTAGTGCAAAAAACTTTGGCGATAGTGGGAGACATGGGATGGGAATCGTGTGAGGCTCGTTGGAAGATATGTATGGCCCAGTTATGGAATCGTTTATTAGATATGGACACAAGTAGGTTGACGAGGAAAATATAAACACAATCTTGGTCCTTGGTCTAAAGATATATGCAAACTGTTTTCTAAATATGGGTTTGGTGAGTTGTTTTCTAATAATGAAAAGCTGAATATTGGTTTTGACTTTCTTTAAAGAGTGATTTTTTTGTTTTGTTTTGTAAGATAAAATCATAGATTGATTTGGTAAATATGGATGATGCTCAAAGATTGAGATGGCTGTTCACATGTGAACATATAACTTAGCCAACTATCCTGAGAAAGCCTGGGAGAAGAGGAAAAAAGCTCTTTATCAAGATGATTTGTAGATGAGGATTTGTTTGTATATGCTGTGTGTGTGTGTGTGTGTGTGTGTTGTTGTTGTTGTGGCAAAAACAATTATTTTTTTATTTTTATTTATCCTTTATTTAACCAGGAAAAAAAACCCATTGAGATTAAAAATCTCTTTTGCAAGGGAGACCTGGCCAAGATAGGCAGCAAAGTTACATCACATCATTACATACGTACAAAGACACACAGATGAAAGCCAATTATGCACTTACAATGAAATATCAATTAAAGCATTGACATGTGAGGGACTCCAACTCAAAGCATCTCATTCTCAACTTAAAAACACTCAAAGGAATCAATTTACTAAGTTTTAAGTTGTTCTGCAGCAAATTCCATGTAAAGGGAGCAGAATAAACAAAGGCCTTTTTACCCAGCACAGTACTGACATGTGGGACAGAAAACAAGACAACAGCCTGAGAACGGAGGGAGTAATGACAAACAATTTTTTTCATAAGAAGTGAACATAAATAGGATGGTAGCACACCAAGAATAGCCTTATATATAAATGTATACCAATGACAAAGCCTCCGTGTTGTCAGAGCAGACCACATGAGAATACAGCTCACAGTGGTGGGTGCGAGCTTTACAATTAGTAATAAATCTCAGCGATGCATGATAGGCTGCGTCAATCATGTGAAGGCATTGAGCAGATGAATGATAAAACACAGATAAAAAAGTGGATGCCACTAACCGTTTTTTAACATTAAAAGAAAAGCACAGCTTATTTCGAAAGTAAAAACCCAATTTTAGCCTCAACTTTCTCACTAGACAGTGAACATGAGTCTTAAATGATAGGCAATCATCAATAACAATACCAAGATACTTATAAGTTGTATTTACTTAACAGTCTGTATTTCACGTCCATCAAGAGTGATCACTGAGGGAATATTCAGTGGCCTATTCCGAGGGCCTGTGAAAAGCATACATTTGGT